TCAGGACATTTAATTTTTGGCTTGTTGTTTTCATTTGGCATTCTTGCACATGCTCAGTTGCTGATTCTCTTGTGCTCTGGTGTGGAGATTTTGGAGACTGTTAATTTTGGAAAAAGTGATTGTAGGCCTTCAAGAGTAAATCAGATAAGAGACCACATTTTCCTTCTCTCCTCTTGACTGGAGAAAACCAAGTTGCTGCACCCTGTGTTTCCTATGACACTCCTTGTCCTCGATTGGACAATAGAAAAAATGAACGTGTGCAGGAATTCCAGGGCACTTCCACCACTCTCCTGTGTGACAGGGACACATTCAGCACATGAGCCCACCTGGAGGGATTCAGCTGGTGCAAAGCACTCCCTTAGAAAGGAATTTGGCTTTGCATAAGTCTCTGACGTCAGTTGGGGGTTGCCATCCTCTAAAATTTAGTGCAGCTTAGCACCTTTCTGGACATTGCCAAAACCTGGCGTCGGTCTGATGGCATTGATTTTTCATTGAGCTGTTACAGCCACTGAAACTGCTGAGAAGAATTGCAACCACATGGCACAAGGCACTGCAGACCTGTCTCCTGTGACACGCTGAGCCATTCCTGGAGGTGCCGAGCTGACGTGTGCAGAGACCCTGGATCTGGAGCAGGGAGGGGACTTGGCACTGGAGTGTGGCACAGGAGGCCGTAACAAACCCCACTGAAGGGCACAAGGTGATTGTTATTTTTGGGAGAGACCCCTCATGTCCCCACCTGAGGAGGAGGACACCAGGAGTTTCAGATGTTTACACCTCACTGTGCGCACTGAATGCTTCTGCTCAGCATGACAGCTTGTGTCCCTGAACCCCACGTCAGTTCTTCAATTCTCAGCAAGAAAAGTCTCTGGGAGTGTTCAGGGACATGTCCCACCCTGCTCAGCACCTGTGGCTGCCCTTGAATGTCCCTCAGAGCCGAGGACATGCTCGTGGCAGGGAAACTCCTCCCTTCCCTGCTGCATTTTGACAGATGGGCTGTGAGGTGAGATCAGCTGAGGGCTGGTCAGTCCTGGAGTAGTTAGGCATGTGTGGGCAGGGAGAGAGTCACAGTGGTATTAAGTGATTAGAAATACATAAATATTAATTGCTTATGAACTCCCTTTATCACACTTGCAGGCAGAAGAAGTTAATAAATCACAGCTCGGATTAAGCCACAGCAGGGTAATGCCAAGTGCATCTGAGACGAGACAGAAATGGCAAAGGGAGCTTTTCTGGAGGGGAGGAAGTGCTGGTTTCAGGCTGGGCACCCACAGCACAAAGCTGTGTTCTTTTTCAGGGTTTCATTTCTCTTGCTGCAGAGGGGAGCCCTTGCAGCTCTGCAGAGAAACCATCACCCAGCCTTGCTGTGGCATCTCTGCACCACCCTTTGCAGGCAGCAGACGTTTGGTTCTTGCACGTAACAGGGTTCCTGGGCAGATCCCCGGGGAAATTCCAGCCCTGGAGCTGCCCTGGGGTCTGTGCAGGACCAGCTGCTGCCACCCTGGGCACGGTGGCAGTTTAAAACCTGCGTGGTGGAGAGGGGCATTCATCTCACTGCGTGTCCATGCAGCTCATGCATTCATTTCACTGTGTTAGCTGGGCATTCTTTGGTGGCTGCTGAGGAGGGGAAGAGACTTTTGCTCCTCTGTTGCATTTCTGTGGGAGAGGTAATTGTCTGATTTCTCAAGTCAGTGACTGGTGCTTGAATTTGAACTTGTTCTGAGGCTGCCTTGGTTTCAGTGGCAGCTTTGCAAGGGTGATTGCTATTAATGGGTGCTGGTGGTGGATTGCTTGTGTGGAAATCTTCCTTGCTAAGGTGAATCCATTATTTTTTGTTCAAATTTAATTTTGTCTAGAGCAGTTATTGTTACCAGAGCTTTCTAATTATTTTAAGTAGCCAAGCTTACGTATGCTTGAATCCTCATAGCAGTTTAGCCTAATATATTCATGCAAAAGCATGAAGGAGGTATTGCTTCCATTTGTTCTTTTGTTCTTCCTAATCCCCATCCCTCTCTGCTCTGCCTTGCTGTACTTTTCATCACCATAAAAAAGCAATGCCTGGAAAAAGCAACAGTGAAACCCTCTGCCAGAATCCCAGGTGTGAGGACACCCAGTGACATTTCTGTGCCTGGCCAAGGGGACCCTGCCATCCTGGAGGCTTTGGCAGTCCTGGGCTTGCTGTGCTTCCTGGGGGCACAGGGAGTTTTTGGGTGAGCAGGAGCTGCTGCTGCTCACTTGTGCATCCAAGCAAAGAGAGCTGGTCCTGGCCTGCCCTGGCAGAGAAGGGTCACCCCATCCTTCCAGCAGTGCTTCCATGGGAGTGTGGCACTTTGGAGCCAGCCCTGGGATCCCAGAGCTGCTTGGGGAGGCCAAAGCAAGGCAGAATTGTAAATCAAAGGCGACTCCAACGAGGGGAGAGAGAATGATGTATCTGACTCTATCATCAGAAGGTTAATGAATTTACTTTATTATACTACACTATATACTTTGGATCTAAACTGAATCTGCCACACATTCAGTTTGCTCACAACTGCACAGAGCTGCACTCATTTCTCTGATTTTCTCGTGACTGTGCTGTGACAGTCCAGCACACACACACTTTATTGGCCCTGATAGGCCAAGGAAACAAAACATCCTCACTTTGGAGAAACAATCTCTATATTGCATTTTACTTTGGCACAACACAGGTACAGTAAGTGATAAGAATTGTGTTTTCCCTTTCTCTGATGTTTAGAGAATGCGAAACCCAGAAATATTCTTGGGAAGAATTGTGCCTTGCTTTTCCCTGTGAAGAGAATGTGGCAACAACGTGGTGCCAGGCTGTGCTCTGCAGAGAGAGGGGTGAGGCAGCCGGGAGCTGTGCCTCACTGAGGTGCTCAAGCCATGCCAGGGTGGGGAAGGTGCACCAGGATTTGGGAGCAGGGCAGGAGAGTGGGAGCTTCTGTCACATGTGACTGTGCTCTGGGTTATGTGAGGGTCTCCCATTCCAGAGAGACTTTTATTAGGTAACTCCAGTATTTACACGTGAGTGCACAGCAGTCACATCATCAGCAGAACCACTGTGTTCTCCTGGTGCTGAACCTGTGATATCGAGGGGAACACATCCCACACCTGTATCAGAACTTGCTGCTGAGAGAAAATGTATGAGATCCAGGTCTGGATAAGCCTGCTCAGCCCCTGCTGCTGTAAAGGAGGACAGATGATTCCATTAGAGAAAAATAGACTTTGGTTCTGTTATCAGAGCACAGAATGCTGAACTAACGCTGAGAAGCTTTTGATTTACTCTGATTTTTGCAATGAGGGTTTGTACTAGCATTGCAGGCTGCATGCAAATGAAGGTGGTGTTACCTGTCTCTGGCTTGGTTGCTGGATTGAGGTTTAATGAGATTCTTTGGTTTGCTTTGTGTCGATCCGTTGGAGTTAAGTGAGATTTCTTCCTCCCACTTTGTATTGCCTTTGATGCAATTTTGCAACACTTCTTGTATTCCTAAAAGGGTCTTTTGGTGTCTTTGAAAGTTTCTCAATGCAACATCTCTCTGGACAGAGTAAATGAGGATTAAAACTAGGCAGATAGCAAGGGAAAACAAGCAAATGTCTTTGCAGAATCAAACAAAGAGCAAGCACAGCAGCAGAGGAGCTCTGAGATGAGTGTTTTTGTCTGGTAAACCAGAACACCTGAGCAAACCTTTTCCTGGTACTCAGGGTGGGCTGGTCTCTCCAGGCTGGCACTCTCTGGTGTCAGCTCATCTGCTTGTTTTCATAAAATATGCAGGGACCCCAATAACCGTGGGATGGCAGGACACTGGGGGCTTGGAAAAGCCACCTCCAGCTCTGCTGCACAGCCTGGAGCGACCGGCCCTTCTGCACCTGACTTTGTCTGCTAATGAGATCTCATCGCCTCTTCATTTCCATGTTATTTTTCTTCCCAGTCAGTGGAATAAGCTCTGTAAAACCTGTGTTATCAGTCTTCATTATACTCAGCTTTGTTATGATTGTGAATTAATAGATTTTATCTTGGCATTAATGAGAAGGCACCAGCCTCTCTTTTCCCTCTTACTTTGCATAGAGGGTGGTTTTAAATATTCTCTCTATGTAGCTGCTTCTGTTGCTTTCTGGCTCTGCTTGGGCTCAGTCTGTTTTAAGCCTGAACCTTCCTGATGCACCCCTTGATTGTGAGTTCAGATCTGTATACCTGCAGTGGCACAAGGAGGAGGCTATGAACAGAGGAGCAATGTGTTCCTGTGAATCAGAGCACTCAGCAAGCTGGTTTTAAAGGTGCAAATGTCCTCGTAGAAAGTTCTGGGGAACACATAAATATTTAAACAGCTGCTGGAGAACAGCACAGCCCAGTAAATCATCCAAACAATTCTCTTCCCCATCTAAATTGAGAAGTACAACAGAGTGCTCTTCCAGCTTAAAACCACCTTCCTCCAGGTTGTGATGCTGTTTGCCCTCTCTATAAAAGTCTTTATAAGCTCTTTTATTATTGTATAACAAATGGTCCAGCGTGTTTTGAGCCGTGAGCGATCTCTGTCAGAGCTGGTTCTGTGCATGGTGTTCCTAGGTAGGAAAGGTGATGAAGAGCAGCCATTCCCAAGTAGCTCAGCTGTGGGTGTCAGGGCAGGACAGCCAAGCTGTGGAACCTGTGCTGTGTGTGTGGCATTCAGATTCTTGGGCACACCTGGCCCTCGTGTCCCACTGCTCCTGCTGCAGCAGTGAAGGGGCCACGCTGGGACAGCTGCCCAGAGTGAGGAATGAGCATTTGACACGGGCTGTTGGTGCATAAACCTGGGGACTCCGAATGGGAGTGATTTGGGATGTGGGGAGACTGTCTGTGTGTCACGTTTACACCTGCATAACATTGCTTCCACTCCCTCATGCTGACAAGAACTGCTTGGCTCAAGTGCTGCCTTGCCCTTGGCTCTATAGGAGCCTTGTCAGACACATCTGCCTGCTTCCTGTAACTGATTCTGCTTCTTGTCTCTTCTCTCTGTCACGCACAGATGAAATCCTCTGACATCGACCAAGAATTGTTCACTGAAAGTTACTGCAAGGTGTGCAGTGCTCAGCTGATCTCCGAGTCCCAGCGCGTGGCCCACTACGAGGTAGGATGCTCTTGGTCTCTCACTCCACCTTTGCTGTTCTGCTTGGCAGACTCAGCATTTGAAGAACTGTTTTTACTGGTTTTACACTCACTCTGTCAGTGATGTCACTGCAGCGGTGTCTGCTGCCTGTCTGGCTTTTTCTTCTGTTTTTGCCAAGTCAGCCTGCAATTTGATCAGGACTGAAGGGAGCACAGTTAGCAAGGAGAGCAATTAAGAGTGCAGCAAAACAAGCTCAGGTTGTATTAAATGTGCTGCGCTGTGGTTTGGTGAGTAGGAATCTCTGATTGTGCAGAGAACAGATTAGAATTTGTGAATGTATTTAGGCACTTAAGAAGCAGTGAGCAATGAATAATTAGAAAGGATGGATTATTAGAGACATGTTAGAACAGCAATTAACAGCACTGCATATCTTCAAAACAAACTTAAAGGCATTCCTATTAAACAAGGAGGAAATTATGGAGGGATATGATGCTGTAAAATCCTTCAGGGAAGGAAACCCACTGCCTGGGTGTTTATCCTGCCAGGGTGTAGATCCTGCCAGGGTTGAGGGGCTTTTGGTGTTCACCTGATGGGAGAATAGAGACTCTCAGGTTCAAATGCAGTGGAGGTGCAGGGTCACTGTGTGGTGGCTGTGCACGAGGGACCATCCTCCCCTGGGAGCATGTGAGATGCTCCAGCCTGTCCTGGAGGACTCCAGAAGTGATGCATGTCTGCATTATCTATAAAACATTGTTTGTATATAGAGAATAAACTGCCACTCTGCATATCCATCATACGTAATATAGAGATAATACAGGTATTTGGATAATATGGAATAATTTGGCTTGATTTTGGTGGTCTTGGAGGTCTTCTCCAACCTAAACAGTTCTGTGATTCTGTGTGATGAGCCAGGGTGTGAGGGACTTCTGCACTCAGGGGAGGTGTGCTTTGCTTCTGGTTTTGGTTACATGGAGACTCCCAGTGCCTGCAGAGTTCCAACAGACACAGAGTTTGTGCACAGCGACCTGGAAGATGAAGTTACCCCAAGCATTTGCTTGACTCGAGTGTTTTGCAGTTGATATACGAGTTAGACAATTGTGTGGCCAGTGGAGAATGTGCAGGAAGCTTAATGTACACGATCTGAGGATGCTGTGCTGCATTAATTAACAATGGGAACAAGAATGTACGTTTGCTTGTAGGGCACTTTACATGTCTGTTTTGGTGAATTTCTTAGGAGCTCCTCTGTAACTGCTCCTCTGGCTGCCCTCTGTGTGCAGCAGAGATCCCTGGCAGCTCTGTGAAGTTGAAGGCTGCAGTTTTAGGGACACCTTCCAGATCTTGATACTGGGCACCGTGGATGCCAAATTTTGCCTGCAGGAGGCAGGAGCATTGCTGCAGAAACAGGAGCAGTGCCTGGTGAGCCACGGGGTGCTCAGCCAATCTCATCTCCTCTGCGCCTGTCATTGGAGGTAGGAGCTGAATCATTAATTCATAGCAGATGTTTTTGAAATGTGGAAAACAACACTGTTTTCTCTTGTATATTTTAGTGCGAGGTGTTGTGCTCGTTTGTCATCCGCTGTGAAATCCCAGCAGACGCTGTGGATGTTTGGCACAATAATGTCATTCCCAACCCTTGCTGGTGGGTTGCATAACACAGAGCAGAGGCTTGGAGTGAGTGAGCTGTAAAGACTAGTTAGGATCACCTCTGGTGGCCCAGAGGCTGGGAGTGCCTCTGCCCTGTGGCTGTGTCACTTTGCTGCTCTCAGTGTCCCTTTGGGACGTCTGTTCTGGTCACCAGTCCCGAGTGTGATGCTCATTCTCGTGGTAACCTTCTGGCACCAGAGCCCACAGGCACCACAGGCACGTGAGAGGCTGAAAACCTGCCCTGGGGTTTTCCAGGGAGGTGGAGTTGGGGGCTCCATCCTGCCTGAGACTGGCAGCCCTTGCTGCAGGCCATTAGTTAATAGCAGGAGTGTAAAATTCACTGTTTCTTTCTCATTGTAAAGTAGCTGGTCAAAATTTTCACACCTTTTTTTCTTCTTACTTTTAGAAAGTGCTGTGTAGTTAAAAACTGATTATTTTCATGGGGGAAATATCAACTTCAGAAGACTGAATTTTCTGTAAATCCATTTCCAGGAGCCCTGGGGTGGTCACCCTGGGTACCCGTGGGTGCTGAGGACCCTTGGTGGTGGTGCAGCCGAGGGTGCTGGGTGCCAGGGCTCTGTCTGGGTTTGTTTTGGGTAGCAGCACCCTTATCCTTCCTGAGCCAGCCTGGAGAGAAAGGGAATTGATCCACTGCCTCACTAGCGCAGTCAAGTGAGCTCTGCAGCCCTTGTGCCAGGGACTGGAATCTTGGCTCTCTATGCATGCAAAATAAGACATTTCTCTGTAAGAAAATAGAGGGAAGCAGCCTATGAAAGGGGGACGTTTTTATCTTGCCAAACAGGAATAGTCAGTTCCAATCACTGTCTCATCTCCTTCTCCAAATCACCAACCAATAACTTTTCTTCTGTGCTACTTTGGCAGGAAAAAAAAAATGACTTTATGTCAGTCACGCAGTATTAAGTGATATTATTTCCAAGGGCAAGTGTAGTGGAAAAATGACAAAAGGATCAGAGTGTTTGCAGCACTTTGTGCTTCCAGCTTGACATACAGCAAATACTGCCTTTATTACATGTGCTTCATGCAACTGTGTTTCTGGCTTTGTCTGATATGTCTGATGCACCCTGGCTCTCCTTCCCATGCTGCTGAAAGTGCCAGGTCCTGCCCTCGTCTCGAGGGTTCACCCCAGGACAGAGCTGAGCCTTGGGGTAGTGACTGAGTTCCAAAATGAGGAGAAGCTTCAGGGCTGAGCATCTCCAGGGGCTGCTGCTGGGCAGCACTCACAGCTGTGAGCGGGGCATGAGGTCAATCTTACTGGTTGGTGTCGGTGCCCAAAAGAGTGTGCATTTGCATATTTTAATTCTTCAAGCAAATTGCTGTCTTAATTTGTCCCCTGAAGTATCAGAAAACTCTCTTCCCACTTCTGTTTCTGGAATAAAGCAGCCAAGTACGGATGCCTGAGACAATCCCTGGGTGGCACTCGCTGTGCCATGCCATGCCAAGCATCCCTGAGCTACCCTGGCTCCCTTTCCTCCTTGGGAGGAACAAAAGGGAACAGCGTGGCTTTTTGGGGAAGAATCCATGTGATGCAGGTGATGGCTGCTGTGTGGGGCAGGAGGTGGCCAGGCACAGTTTAGGGAGGGTATTTCACACCTGAGGGTATTTCACACCTTGTGTTCCACTGTGGTCCAAGGGGTGACAATGTGCTGTGCTTGCTGCAATGCCAGTGAAAGTCTGTGCAGAAATGAGTTTTTTCTTTTCTGTATCTCTGCATCTTTCCTTCCTCTGGAGCCGGAAGCCTCTTTGGAGCTGGATTCCCTCTGGATTACCTGTAATTTAACACTTCCTTCCAGCTCTGTCTTTGAGAGAGGCTGTATTAATCACTTTGGTGAGCTGCTCTGTAGATGAAAAAGCTAAAACAAAGAGAGCTAAGATTTCTTAGTTAGCTCTGAGTCCTCATCTCTATGTAGAAGTGTTCACTGCCATTAGGAAGATGTTACCATTTATTTTCATGTTTCCCCTTGAAAATCCTGCAGGAAAATTACCTCATATACAAAGTTGCTCACAGATTTCACCCTGAGATGCACATTCATCACCACATTTGCTCCTCAAGCTGCTGTAATGCTCTTCTCCATTTCCTCCATAATCTTTATTACTTCAGGTGTTCAGAGAGTGCTTTATTTTTCCATTTAAAATGAAGGAAGATGCCAGGTCTGGAGGAAGAGCAGCCCAGGAGGGGCCCGTGCAAGTGTCAGCTCACCTTATGGGATGTGGGAATGCTGCTGGAATGCTTGTGGTGGAGCAGCAGGGGAGGGCAGAGGCAAACTGTATTAAAATTCAAATGCAGAAGAAACTGGGGAGAACAAATCAAGTGCCATGCCCTTTGGCTCCTCTCGGGAGCTGTGTGCTGTGGAATTCTCCTCTGTCTCCGGGGCGGTATCGACAGCCTCATCAGTGCTCCATCTCACGGGCTGGAGTGGTGCTGGGGTTAATCTGCTTCCAGTTGGGCTGTCCTTGGCTGGAAACATGTGAAGCGATGGCTTGTCTGAAGGAATAATAAACATTGTTTACTATTGGCACATTGGTGCCTTAAGGATCGAGATGTGTGTGCTCAGAAAGGCAATCCTGTGTCTGAAATATTAATGTGCTGCAAGAGCACATACTCTATTTAACAGAATAAATGCTATACTAGAAAGCAAGGAGCTGGAATGTTATGTTTCTACTCCCAGCTCCCTGTGTGAGATGCTGCAAGCATTTCCAGGATGGAGGAGTGGGAAGGATGTGCTTTAGCTGAAGGTAAAGGCTGCACAGGGCTGTTGTGTGCCAGGTTCTGCTGATGTCAGTGATCATGGAAGGGAATGTGACATTTGCTGGCCATGATCTCTGTCGTATGTTCTGCCACTGTTGCTGCTCACCTGCCGTGTTGTCCTGCTTTGGTGGCAGTGACATGGAAATCCTCCAGAGGATGAAGGAGGAGGGGACACTCTACTGCTGTTACCATGTCCTTCCCCACCGCTGCTGGAATCTGCTCTGCTGTGGTGATCACGGGTTTTTGTGGCTGCTCAGACATTACTGTTATCCTGAAGATTGTGCTGGTGTTGGATAGAAGAACCTTGGCTTGAGGAGAAAAAGCTAAAGAGGGCATATTTGTGTTGCAGAGATGACAAAGGTGCTGCTCTGTTCGTTTTGTGTGTACAGGCAGGCCTGCCATGGATATTCCCTGGCATTTTATGTTGTGGTAACTGCCCCAGTTAAAATATGGTGAAGAAAATGTGGTTACCCGTTGTGTATGAGGGAGATAGGTGAGTGCCAGGCTTTTAGGGCACAAGGCTCATACTTCTCTCTGCACACAGGGCAGCAGCAGCTGCTGCATCACGGTGAGAGCCAGTGGAGATGGGATGGGACTTTACAAGGCTCTA